GAATTTGTTATCTCAAATAGATCGATGTTGGGTTAATATGGTTTGACGATTCAGGGAACTAGATTGCTTTCCTTCCTTTGCTTTGCACGAGATTATTTTGATTTTTTTTCAAAATTTAAAAAAATTAATTAAATTATTTTCACAATTTAAAATTTTAAAATTGAATCAAAAAATTTGCATCTATACATATGATGACAGATATAATTTTTTATTTAAATAAAAATTATATATGATAATTATTAAAACTAATAAATGATAATTTTATAAACTGATAAAAGTTAAACAAATTTTACCAATAGTATGTGTGTAAGTGGAAAGGGTGTAGGCATAATTTTTAAATTCTGTTCAACTCTAATTTCTGATTGTGTTTTCCCCTTACTTCCAAAGTGTTTATTCCACCATCATATTTATATTTTCACTTACTTAAATTGTTTAATTTTTTCATATATATATATATATATATATATATATACACACACACACACAAATAAAAATGATAACAATTTGAATATGTCAATTCCTTTCTAATAATTAATACCCATTTTTTATATAAATATATATAAAAACGAAATAATTCACATAAATTAATTCATTTTTAATAATTAATTTCTATTTATTTTATTTTTTCATGCATATATGAAAAATAATTTACATAAATCAATTTTTTTAATAATTAATTTCTATCTTTTTCTCCGCTCATATATATAAAAAAAACAAAATAATTCACGTAAATTAATTTATTTCTAATAATTTGTCACGACCCGAAAATTAGATACGTGACTGCACAAAGGTCATAATGAATCTCAACCCTATAAACCTAACAGAAATACAAAATTTAACTAAACTTAAAATATGAGATAAATCAAAATGTAATTCAAACCATACTAATTGAGCTGTCAATATAAAACAGAAAACCTGTATGTAGCCAAATGAAGCATACTAATATTCCAGAAATACAAAGTCTGACAGAAACTGAATAATTAACTCTAATAATCCAAACGAAAATAGTTAATAATATGGACTCTTTTCAGATAGCAGTATCCGTTGGACCAACGAACTCAGAATTTGGAAAAAAATAAGAAATGAGTCGATAAACCTAGTGAATAATAATATGCATTTACGAAAACAAATGGCATGTATAACATATAAAATCAGAAAATTTTATATTATCTTGTGCCAAAACCAAAAAATTTCTAATATAACAAACCTTTGTCATATATCAGAAACTTTACCGTATAATAGAATCATTTACAGTTATCAGAAAAACATTACAATATAACGAAATCATTTTCATTTATCAGAAACTTTGAGGAACTTGTAATTCAAAACGAAACAATTTCCTGCTCTTTCCTCTTCTTTTTTCCTATTTGTCCTCTTCTCTCTCACTTTTTTTTCATTTTCATTTGTCTTTCTTTGCGGTATATGTTCCTCCAACTAACACTAATTGCCTTCTTTGAAGATGTTAAACTCTGATGCTGCCTCCTCTGACAATCGCCCCCATTGCCCTCTTTCTTCTCAATCAAACCTTCGTAGTTGTCCCCTTTTCCTCCATTACCATTTGTTGCAATCTCCCTTGAAGAGAGAAGTTGAAATTGTTGAATCCAAACTCAAATTGGAGAAGAAACTTTTTGTTTCTCTGGCTAATAAAAGCTACTCTTAATACAAATTTCTTGCAACTCTTCTAAGATCGGAATATGTATCAAAACATATATAGTCTCATGCACAAGATTACTATGAAATATCAAGTCTATAACTAATTATTGCACTATAATAAATAAGGGAATTACCAATATAGCAATATATAACAACATCACTACTTTCGAGTAGAATTCTTTAACTAAGATTATCTAGTGAATATATTGTCTAAGGATCATCCACTCATGTGCACTAATATCCCATGTCGATATCCATAAAAAGGAGGCATCCCTCTTGAGCATGCATCACTCGTACAAGTTTATTTGATTCTTGTCAATGCTTATTTTTAATAAATTTTATATTTCAAAACAAATTTTAAATCAAGTCATTGTAACAGTTTCATAATCACCATTCTATGTGTAACCTTAATCTAGGATTATGTATAATTCAATGTTTCCAACCATGTACAAAATTTACTCAATAAATAAAATGAAGATGCCCAAATATCAAAATAAATATATTGAATATATATGATTGTTTTATAATTAATACAATCAAGAAAGAAAAAAAGAAAAAAAAAATCTCAAATTGAGCTGATAAAAAATCTCAAAATAAAAGAAAGTAAAATGGCTTTCTCATATTAATTATGTAAACAACTCCCAATGGTTACTCGTGATAGCTTTCAGTTAGCAAATTTTACCATAGATTATGAAAGCTACTACAGTTTTCAAATATCTAGATATTGGTCATAATTTTAGCACACCTTAGGAGGGATTAACATAAACTATGTTAATTATAACTGTATTACTTATAACTATTATTATTGATGTATTATTTCATATTTATTTTAATATCTTATGACTTAGTGTATTCATATGTACTTGATTCAAATAAATTTGATTGTTATTCCTTAATTAAATAATTCATGAAATAATTTTTCACTTTATATGTACATACATGAATATACAAATAAATTTAATATATATATCTTCATTTTGTGTATCTAATAAAAATAAATTTAATCATTAAAAGAGTTTTATGCAGATAAAATCAGTTGTTTAATGTCCTATTTTAAGGTGGGTTAGCAAATGTTTTCACAAATTATAACACTTTTTGTAAATTATAAATTACCAACAAATGAATTTATAAATTATTTAACTTATTAGGGTTTTATCATTCTTAAATCACAAGAAATCAATCACATATTTATAAAAATATGTTTGAATAAAATGAATAGATAGAACTTTTAGGGCTGTTTTATTAAGCCCGATGAACAGCCAGAAATTTTGTTTGGTATAATGTTTTTTATTTTTATTGTTGGAGAACATTTCCTAAAATTTGATAGAAAAGAGAAAATGACAAAAAGTCGTTTTCCTGTTTTTGTGGAAAGACAAAAAGGCGGTGGCATGGGTGTAATTTCCTTCATTTTTGGCGTCTCTTTTGTATCAACATTTCCAATTGCTGTACTCTACTCCCTCCCGTCACTCTCGTCCTTGCGTCTCTTTGCTACAGTGCCAAAACCAAGCACTGCAAAGGTGTCTCTCTCATCTATCTCGCCTCTCATCTGCACCACATCGAACACTGCAATGTCACCTCCCTCATCTCTCTCGCCTCTCTCATCTTGTTTGTGCACCGAACGTAGCAGATCCGAACACCCTCTCAGCTTCGTAGATTCAGACATTGCAGAAAACCGAATACCTTTCATCTTCGCATATCCAAACATCGCAAATCCGAACACCTTCTCTTTCAATCGCCCTCGCTAACAATGGCCCGGCTTCCCTACCTCCATCAGCAACAGAGTTGCAACGCTATTGAAGACAATCAATCTTCAAATTTCAGCTCGTAGAGTTCAAATTTTGTCAAATTAATTGAGGGTTTTTGTGATTGGAGATACAATGCAAAATCAATGTGAAAATTACTTGAAAAAAAGTTTACACGACGCGTTATTGAACTCGGGTCGCGATCGGGTTCCAAGGACCCAATCGTGACCCGGCAGAGGTAGGGGACATCCTATTTAGTGTAATTTTATTTTGGTCCCCTAACTGTTCTTCTTTCTTCAATTTGGTCCCTATACTCTTCAGATTTTATTTTAAATTTTAGAATTTTTAATTTATTCAATTTAATCCCTATCAAAAATCCTAAACTTTTAATTTCATTCAATTAAGTCTTTATTTTCAATTTATTAAAAATGGATTAACCAAATATATATTTTTTTGTTTTCATTTTTTGAAAATAGAAATTAACAAATCTTACCAAACATATTTTTTAATTTTGAAAATTTTGAAGTGAAAACTACTTTTCAAAAAATAGAAATAAAAAAAGAAAAAAAAAACATTTTTACCAACCATAACAGGCCCTTAATTTATTTCAAAACCAAATCCTCCGTGATTTTCCGAATCAAAATATTTATCTACGATTACCGGTGGCTAGCCATCGTGCCGCAATGTTTTTGATCCTAATAGATCAACGGTTGTAAGTTGTTACCTTGAAGCGAGCCAGAGGGAGCGCGTGGCAGAGAATCATCGCTCACAGCCTGTGACTCAGCCAAAGTAGTTTTTGGAATTTGATAGTCTTTGGCGTCTGTCTATTTCATTCATATGCGTTATTTGGTGATCATCCTCAACCCAACTTCTCTCTCCTTCCCCCTCTGGGTTTCTTATCGAAGGTAAATTCCCTTCTTCCAGACTTCTTCTTCCTCTCAGCGAAAGGAATTAAATCCCACTCTATCTGTCTAGCGATGTCTGACTGCAAAATTTGAATGAATCTTCACTTGTTAGCTTGTCTTGATTCTTCTCCCCGTTCGTTTCTCGTTCTCAAAATTAATTCCATGTTGTTAAAAATTACTTCTGTCGTCCTTGGATTTCATTTCTTTACCATCTTAAACCTAATAATTTCCCCTTCCAGTGGTCTTGATTCTTCTTCATCTCGTTGTGATGATTAGGTTTGACTTTGCCGCCGGTCTATTCAGATGGAATCTGCATTTACTTTTATAACAGTAATTTTTGTGTGAAATTCAACTAGTAAAGCAATTGCAAGAAAACAGGGGATTTCTGAGTCTGTAGTAGGATAAATAATAATTTAAACTGAATTTGACCGAATCATTTGAAATTGCGTACCTCTTGAAAAAGTAAAATCTTGAACAAACATCGTTTTTTATGCAGTGGTGATCGTTCGGCTTCGTCGTTGCCTTGCCTTTGTCCTCATCTTCTTTAGATCCGACTGCACCCTGAGCCTCCGTTAGTAGTTCCTCCTCTAATTGGGTTTTATTTTATTTTTATTTACTTTGTTTTGTTGACTCCATGATTGATTATCATTCGTCACTGATAGACAGCAAAATCTTTTGATTGATTGATTCAGTGAGTGGTATGGATAACAATAACTGGAGGCCAGCTCAAGGCGGCGGTGAACCGACCATGGATACGGGTGATTGGAGGACTCAACTGCAACCTGAATCGCGGCAGAGGATTGTCAACAAGATGTAAGCTCCTAAAAATCCATATATCTCCAATTTGTTTCTTTCTCTCTCCCATAACGTTTCACGTTTTATCGATGACTCTTTTATTTGAGGGCAACCGTGCTCGCTTTCCTCTCTTTTTGGGTTTATAGGTCTTACTCGCATCCTTAAACCAATTGTTCATGAATTGTTTACTCATAAATTTTATTCCTTTTGTTCTGCCCTATTTGTCTCAGTTGATCGTACTGTTGCTAACAATATGCTTTTTAATCGCATTCTCATTTATGAGAGGTGGATAGCTGATATTTCAAGGATTGGGATTCAAACCCGAAATAATGGAGAATGTATAAAGAGGGTCATTTATAGTAATGGCCCCTTTTTTCTTGAGAAATACACTATTTGCATTGAGGTTGTTGTTATAATGAAACTATGATGAGTACTGAAAATTATGTTTGTGGACAAATCTTTTCCTTCTAAAGAGGTGCACAAATTCAGGTTGATTAGAAGGTGCAGAAGTAGCTAGAACTGAATGGGGAAGTGGAAAGTATGGAATACATCTCTTAATGTATTTAATGACCTGATCCCTAGTCCCACTACTTTGATTGTGTTAATGTGATAATTTTCTTGTAATTGGTTTCTATGTTGAGAAAACAAGAATGCTTTAAATAAAAGTGGCTTCCAGATGTCTTAGCATTCTACTTATACCTAGCTTAAAGCTGTCCATTCAATTCTTGTTGTTTAGAAATTAAATTTTGGTAATTTCTGTTAATTCTGGGTTGACAGCTAGTTAACATTGGAATAGTCAGTTGTTTAGTAGGAACACCATGTTGAGCTCTGCTGAACTTGCATGGTAACAGGGAAAAAAAAATATTCGTCTTTTGCACAGCTGTGGTTCTAAGGCTTTTGAGTTGCACTATTACATCATGTGAACCCCCAAAAGTTTGGCAAAGTTTTCATTCTGATGTTTTTTTTTGGCAAGTTAAAGAGTAGGGACTGATATATAATGTGGTCTGCGAGAGATTAACGCCGGACTTTTTAAATAGTCATATATTTTGGACTCCAGGGAGTACTATGGCTTGAAGGCACAAGGAATAAGTAATGACATGTTTTTGTTTGCTGTGCTTTTGGATTGTGTACCTGGAGTGAAGCACCCTTTTGTTGCTTCAGAAGTCCAGTTGCCAATTCATTTTTCTTAGATAACTATTTGCCAAAAGGCTTGAGCTGTTAGGACATAGGCCCGGATGCTCAGTAATGTAATACAAGTTAAGACTCATGGTTTTGTGGAACCTTGTCTTGCATGTGAAGAGACAATTGAGAATGAGTTGAACAGCAAAAAAATAGGTGCACAATGACTGAGATAAAGGTGGTAAACATTGATAAAAAGATAAAAACCCAGGATCTCCTAGAGCTGGTGACTTCGTATTACGATCATCAATTAGCCTGAAGCTTAAGCTGTTAGGATACTGGCCCAGCAATGTATATTAATTTAACAATTTCTTTTTAAGCATGGATAATCTTTCTCGTATCTGCATGACAATTAACCAATTAAATTTTAACATTCCACGTGAGTTAACACTTTCTCTTTAACCATGGATAATCTTCCTTGTAGCTGCATGACAATTAACCATTTAAATTTATAACATTCAATATGAGCAGAATGGAAACTTTGAAGAGGCATCTTCCTTTTTCTGGACCAGAAGGACTTCAAGAACTCAAGAAAATTGCAGTAAGGTTTGAGGAGAAAATCTTCACTGCAGCCACAAGCCAGGTATGTACAACATGTGGGCAGTTTTGAGTTCTTGGAAAATTTTTGTTTGTATTTGGCCATTTGTTTGTTTTCTGCAGAATATATAAGTTGTTGATTAAATCTGGAAAAGAAAGTTCTGTATTGACTCTATATGACAGCAATGATTGTTTCTAATAGTCATGAATTGCTTACGCGAAATATTTTCTTGACCTCTAATTGCAGTCTGATTACCTGAGAAAAATATCATTGAAGATGCTGACAATGGAGACAAAATCTCAAAATACTATGAGCAATTCTCTGCCACCCAATTCTGCAAATAACGGCAGAAATCCCCTGATACTGGTAATAGCATTGAGCTGCATATTTCGTTGTGTTTTATATGACAAATGAAATGGACTTTTGCTAAAAAATGGGTCTATTGGTGAGTTAGTTTGTCCTACGATCCTATCATTAGCTGGGATTTTATTTGTCTTCTATTCAGATTACCAGTTCCAGATATCTGGGTCCGGATATTAATTTTTCTACTGTAACTGTTATTTTTGCATGTTTCCATTATCTGGCTTGAGGATGACAATTTTTCTACCTTAACTATTCTTGTTCCCATTATCTGGATCGAGGATGATAATTTTTCTACCTTAGCTATTATGGTATAATATTGTTATTATTTTCTTTTTGGTTTTTGGAGGGGTTACTTTTATTTGATAGAAAGGTTCCTGTGTATTTCCCATTTTCTTTTTATGAATATTTATAGTAAATTCAGGGAAAATCCTTTCTTATCTAGTGTGTATGTGTGTATATATATGTGTGCATATCTTAGTTTCACATTGTCTCTCTCTTCATTCCACAATCAGCAGCATTATTTTACTTGCTATTAGTCTATTCTTTTTTATTGGTTCTATAGTTTTTGTTGAATTATTATTAGTAATTTGTTATCCATATAAATTTTGTTATTCTAATTCAAATTTATTTCTTATTTTATTTTGCTGGTTGTGGGGGGTGGGAGGAGGGGGAGGGGAGGGATTGTAGGGTTGGATAGTCAACTTGGAAGAATATTTGTATGCTAACCCATCATCTAGAACAGTTTTATGAGAAAGAATGGGTTTACAGTAATATTTGTCAGTTGCCACTGTCTTTGTCTAGTGTGCAAGAAATTTAGAAACATGGAAAACACAGAGAAGAAAAGAGATACATTATGATTCATTATTTATGCCTCCGCATTTGACAGATATTGATATGTTACTACAAATGTTGGGTGGATAAATTTCTGCTTCCTCTAGGTTTTACATCTGCGATTACTTTAACACTTTGTCCTCCAGTGATATCAATGCCATTGGACCACTTTCAGTAGTATTGTAAGTAGCCTAACTTTATTTCATGGAACAAAAAATAGAAGCAAGTATGAAATGTATCTAATTAGTAAAAACTACATTTGCTGCAGTGAGAAACGGAAGTGAGTAAAGGGTTGACACAATCAATTAAAGATTTTTCTGTTGATTAGCACTATTATAAATATAATGTGATCATCCAGTCGTGCTTCTGTTGTTTGAATTTTTTCAATCCAGGCGACTGTTAGTGCTGGGGGAACCTATGTCATGATGGACCCAGGCCAAGACCTTTATGTTTCTAGAGGGCTTTAGTTTATTTTCTTTGGATTCTTCACTAATTTGAATTAGTTCAAAGATAGTCAATGGTTTAACCATGTTATACAATTCTTATGAGAACCTAACTTAGAAAAACCTTCTGGTGTTATGGTAATTTAGATTCATGTTCATCATTTCCTGAAAAAAGAGACATATGTTGTGGCTGAACAAACAAAATTTCCTACTAAAGAATATGGTGCTTTTTATTGCTAAAAATAATATTATTGTGCTTAGTACAGGACTTAATACAACTCAGTGAAAATTATTTTCCCAACTGAAAACTTCGAAAAGAGTATTTTTATGCTTATTACAGGACAAGTTATTGTTATATCTATGATCTTTTTGTTTCCCATAACTTATCACCAGCTTGTGAAGGACTTACCCCAAAGAAATCTATGCAAGTTCAATATCTTTTTGAGCCTATAATGCATGTAGTTTCCAGGTCGTATATAGCAGAATATGATGTTAATTTCTACAGCAAGTAGAAAGTCTCTGCTGTCTCTATCTATCGCAGTTTCATATGTGAAAATAGCTCTAATAGGTGAATGAAGCCTTCGGTGGAGGAGGTCAAGTCTAATAATCAATCCAGGTGAAAGAAGGTGGTGTTCGGGGCGACTTTTTGGTATCCAAACTTGAATTTGACATTAGCCAAGGATCTTGGTGAATATGCTTTTTATTTTCTCTCAACGATCGTTAGAATGCTGAGATATTTTCTGTAAGATTAGAAGCATGTACCTGGGGAGAAACTCATTTTTTTCTAGAAGATGATGATATACTTTATGGTGCATGGAGGGAAGATTAACACACTTAGCATTATGGCTAGAGTTCCATTTATGTGTATATCTAAAATTTTTGCTGATTTGGGTGGTAGACAGAATTTGTATTTGTCAATAAATATGTTTGAAAGCTGTGTAGAACTGTGAATCTATTATCTAGTTTTCTCTTCAATATCTACCTTTCTTGTTGGCTAAAAGTTAATAGGCATGGGTACAAAAGGGTACATTTGTTTGAGCTTTTCTTATAAAAAAAACACTTTTTTTTTTAAAATTAGAAATGCAGTTCTGGAATATTTTGAAGTGTTTGGTTAAGCTGTTAAAGAAATGCCCCCCCCCCCCCCAAAAAAAAAAAAAAAAAAAAAAAGATTTCTGATTATTTCAAAGCTAGTATGGGGTAGCTTCTGAAAGTATCACTTTTGAAAAAGCACCTATGAAAAAATCTCATCCAAACAAACCCAAAAGCTGAAATGGGCTTTCAATTCTGAAAACAGTTCATGCTTTGAATAGAAATTCGTGAATATAAATTTTTCTTTCATGATGTCTAGTTAGTGTCACTTTTGTTAGAGATAAGATTGAGTGCTGGGGATAAAATTCTGATAATCTTGCACTTAAAGTGAGAGATTAGAGATTAGATAACTATAAACAAAGTTTATCCTAATTCTAAATGCTTGTGGATCATATGTATTGATGGAACAGTCCTACAAAATATTGTCATAAGTCTATTTGTTAAGTACTTTCAACATCATTAAATGTTTATTTTACTCGACCTTATTCTCTTGAGCTTTATTTGATATGCTGTCAATTTCTTCATTTCTTTTTCTAAGCAGGATCCCTTGGCATGCAAACTCAAATTAGCAACCAGGGGCCATCACTTCCTATGTCAATGTCAGCTACCCAGGCGCTACCTCGCCAGCAGCTGCTGTCTCAGAACCTTCAGAATAGCATTGGAGCTAATGGAGTACAAACCTCTGCTGCTTTGACATCAGCACTGCCTCCTGTTGGTGGCTTACCACAGACTAGTATGCCATCTGTTGTTGGCCAGAATTCCAATTTGCAGAACATGCAGAGCTTATCTGGGGTTTCACAGAATCCAGTAGGAAATTCAATGGGGCCGGGGTCTCTTCTAATATGTTTGCCAATGCTCAAAGGCAGATGCCAGCAAGGCAACAAGTTGTTCCTCAACAACAACAACAACAACAACAACAACAGTCTCAAAATGCACAGCATTACCTTTACCAGCAACAATTACAACAGCAGCTTATGAAGCCGAAGTACCAACAGGGAAGTATCCCCCCCTCACACATGCAACCTCATATGCAGCAGCAACAACCACAGCAACAACAAAGTCTATTACAATCCACTCAATTGCAATCTTCTCAGCAGTCTGTTATGCAGCCTTCTGTAATGCAACCCACTTCACTTTCTGGCCTTCAACAGAATCAGCAGCCTTCTGTTCAACAGTCAACACAGCCTATGCTCCAGCAAAATCCTCAGTCAGTCCTCAGGCAACAGCAACAACAGCAGCAGACTCTTCATCAACAGCAAACTCCATTGCAGCAGCAGCTACTTGGGCAACAGCCAAATTCTACAAACATGCAACAGAACCAACTAATTGGGCAACAGAACAGTATGCCTGACATGCAGCAGCAGCAGCAGCAGCATCAACAACAACAACAAAGGTTGTTAGGCCAGCAGAATAATCTTTCGAACCTGCAGCAGCAACAGCAGCAGCAGCTAATGAATCAGCAAAACAATCCTCCAAACATTCATCAGCAGCAGCAATTGGGTCCCCAAAGCAGTGTCACTAGCCTACAGCAGCAGCAGCAGCAGCAGCAGCAATTGCTTGTAAATCAGTCTGGTAATTCCAATATGCAGACTAGTCAGCACCCTGTACACATGCTACAACAACCCAAGGTTCCATTGCAGCAACAAACCCTGCAGATGGGTTCAACTTTACTGCCAAACCAGAGTCAACAGCCACAACCACAGGCATCCCAGCAGCAACTGATGTCACAACTTCAATCACAGCCTGGACAGTTGCAGCCGCAGTTGGGTTTGCAGCAAAGGCCTCAAGCATCAGGGCCCTTGCTTCAGTCACAAAATGTGATAGATCAGCAGAAGCAACTGTTTCAATCACACAGAGCCATTCCCGAGGCTTCTTCGAGTATGTTATTTTATTATCACAAGTTTGTTGGCTTTTTTCAGTTTCTTAACATTTTAATCACCAAATTGTTCAACTACTGTTATGTTTTCTTTGTCTAATTACGTCTTCTAGTTTAAGTGGTAGATAGCTACATTTTTTTTTGCTTCTATGTGCTTGGACAGTTGATGCAGTAGAAGATAGTAGACAGCAACTCAAGCAATAGAATTCGAGAAGAGAAGTAGGATAGATTGAAGTGGAACGATAAAAAGAAGGATTCTAGGGTTTAGAAACCTTTTGGATCTGAAATTCTCATCTATGACTAAAAAAGCTGCTGAATACAAATCCCTAGGATTATTATACTAGGGTTAATAGCGTACTAATAAACCTAGCCCATTATTTCAATGTCTAACTGATGTTACCTCATCAAAAAGTCACATGCTAGTCATGTGATCACTTATTTTAAATAAAAACATACTAAGTCTAAATCTCATTAAAAAGTCACATGCTAGTCATGTGATCACTTATTTTTCATGCGGATTATTTTCTTTCTTTTCCTTGATACAAAGAACTTATCATTCTTTCTACACTTTTTGTAATAGTATTTAACATTATGTACTAATTTTTGTCTAGTGCAAATGCTTATTTTGCTTGTGCTGCAGCATCATTGGATTCGACAGCTCAGACAGGAAATGTTAATAGTGGGGATTGGCAAGAGGAGGTCTATCAAAAGGTAAAGTATCATGACCTTTTGAATCTTAATCAATGAAATTTATTGTGATGTAAATTTTCTCCAGAAATTTAGATCATGTAACAAAGTGCAAGAGAAGGCTATCAAATGGTATAATATCATGCTTTTTTGAATTGTTCAAACTTCAAACTGCATTCCCTTGTATCTTAAGACCCTCTAGGAACTCAAACCATTTTACTACAAGCTAATGGAGGCCTATCAGAACGTAAAATATAAGGATTTTCTGAATTCTTTGAGTTGAATTTCCTATAATTTCAGTATTTGAAACAAATTAATACATGTGTATCCATCTGATTGATTAAGCAGCAAATTTAATTTTTACTTAACCTGGAGTCAGCGTTCATGTCAATTATATCTGAAAAGTTACTTTGGTAATGTGGATCATAGTGTTTCCATCCTTTGGTTATAGATCTACAAAATAGAAATCAGTATTTTGTGGACTATTCTATTTTGACACAAGGCACCTGTCTGGAAATGGGTTGCTTAGTGAAAGTATCAGACATCTCCAACATTCTATCCTATGTGGAGGAGTTCATAAGTGAATTTAAAAATGCTTTTTTAATTGATTATAAGAATGTTTTCTTGCTTGGTAGTGCATACTACTTAATTCAAGCAAATACTTCACTAACTAAATGGGTTGGCTATAATGGACTAATATCTCCATTTCCCTTTAATTGTCTTATTTTCTGTTAAATCCATAATAATTTAGATCTTTCTTAATTATTCCAGCTCAAGTTAGTCTTGGCTTACCTCTACTGCTATTTTTACACTCAATTAAAAGTGGCACTTTTCCAACTCTACACTTGTAGGTCTATGTTGCAAGTGTTTCTAAATCCATAAATTTTTCTCTAATTTTATCCATGACAGGTGCTATTTTAATTATCCCTTGAATGTGGTGATTTCTAACTCTATCCTTACTTTTACCAAACAACTATATTAACATTGTCATGTCTGCTAAACTCATGTTACTAGTATATTGTCTCTTAACTGCCCAATATTCTAAATGATAAGGCAACATTACAGCTATATCATAAAACTTTCCCTTTAATCTCATAAAAAGTCCTGAAGCATTTATTACTCCACCTTGCTTTAATTCTAGAATCTTAAGAATATCTCTTTATTCTAGAATTTTTTTCCATTTGTTTTAGCTAAGAATGCTCTTTTTGGAATATATCACAAAGGGCTACTGTGGTTTATGCTGTTGTTTAGGCTTACTTCTGTTGTGTGCTATTCATTTTATAATACTATACCAAGGTGCAATACTTGATATAAATATGAGGAAGAACTTTATTCATTGCTAGTGGATATGTGTATCACATGCAAGGCTTCCTCCTTGTGGAGATTGACTTAGCATGTTCAACTCAACTAATTGGTGCTGCCTTGATGTGCTGCACACATAGAAGACAACCTGGCATTTGTTTCAGAATGCCCCTCTTTAACACATCTTGTTTCCATCATAGGAGACCTTCACTGGTACTGAAAAGGCTAAATGCGAGCATCTTACAGTTGGCTAAATGTGTCTATTTAGTAGGATTTGCTGTCTAGTAAGGTGATGCATGTTCTTGATACCAGTTTGCCAAAATGACACTCAAATCTGGTTCAAAACCATAATGTCAGATATTTATGGCTGGCAACAAAGGTCCATTTTCTCAAGTTTACTCCAGTAAAAACAATCCAGCCTCCCTGGTTGAATTGCCAGTCGACATGTTCTTTCTATGTTATGCCCTTGGCCCTTCTTCTGCTTTCTTTTGGCATTCCTTACTTGGATCAAGTCATTTCTTCTGACTAATTTTTCTAAATTTATTGGATAAAGAAAAGGAATTACATTATGCTCTGAAAAGTTAAGCTTTCAATTCTGAGTATGTTATTGCAGTATGAAGTTACTTTGTTAAAGTATTAACAATTCTCTGACTTGGTCTGTATATCTTAATGATGAAGGATCATATGTGATATTAGTATGGCCACGTCTTCCTGGTGAAGCACAAATATCTTCACTTTAGCAACTTCTGACCATTTTTATTTTTTATTTTTTGTGGGTGAAGATGATCCATCCTGTAGTTTCAGTTGATCATAGAGAATAATTTCTTGTGCAGAAGTTATTGATTTGACAAGTGAATGTCCTTTTTTTTGGTGCCTTTGTGTTTTCTCTGCTTCCTTCTGCTTTGTGTTCCTCATAGTTACATTTGTATTCTCTTTCACATAATTCTCATAATTCATGAAACTTGTGCCATGCAGATTAAAACCATGAAGGAGTCTTATTTGCCAGAACTAAATGAAATGTACCTAAAAATTGCTGGCAAGTTGCAGCAGGTATTTTTTTCTACAGCTTGTGTATATCATTCCTTGTCAATTTTTGAATCACGCTTTGTTATTATGGCAGCTGTATTGTCACTGGTCGAGGGGTGGCCGGCATTCTAATGGGAATTCTTAGTAAAAAATATGCACATTGAACTTAACGTATATGGGAAAAAATGTGGCTAATTTAAAATGAAATATTCCTGGATACAAATTACAGCACACATAAACAGATTACAGCACACATAGCGAGCAGTTTGTGTAGCTGCATGTGGCAAGCAAGAAGGAATATGAAGTTTCCTAGTAATTATTCTCCCACCTCCCAAAGATAGGGTTAGGAGGGAGTTGACACATGGACTTAGGGGTGGGGTTTGAGGGGAGGCTACTGGAATGCATGTAGAAATTTAAAAAATAAGTGTTGTCTTACCTCTCTCTATTTGCAATCCTACCTTGTTTCAGCATGATTCTCTTCCTCAGCAACCTAAAACTGAGCAGCTTGAGAAGCTCAAAATATTTAAGTCTATGTTGGAGCGCATCATGAATTTCCTTACAAGTTCCAAAAACTGGTGTTTTACCTACTTTTAAGGATAAGCTGGGTTCCTATGAGAAGCAAATAATTAATTTTCTCAACTCAAATAGACCAAGGAAGCCTGGTGCTTCGCTGCAGCAAGGGCAACAACTTCCCCAATCTCATTTGCATCCCATGCAGCAATCACAGCAGCCTCAGTCCCAAATTACTTCAGTGCAACCCCATGAAAATCAAATGAACCCTCAGCTGCAATCAATGAACTTACAGGGTTCTGTAGCAACAATGCCGCAGAACAATGTTGCTGGTCTGCAGCATAATTCATTGTCTTCTTTATCAGGGGTTCCAAATGCGTCACAGAGCATGATCAATTCAATACAGCCTACTTCCAATATGGATTCAGGCCAGGGAAATGCACAAAATGCATTACAGCAAGCTGCTGTGGGATCTCTACAACAAAATCCTGTTAGTGCCCCCCAACAGGTAAATATGAACCCCTTAACATCACAAAGTGCAATGAGTGCACTGCCGTCAAACCTTAATCCTCTTCAGTCAAATTCCAATATGCTGCAACACCAGCATCTGAAACAACAGGAACAACAGATTCTACAGACACAAACACAACAATTGAAACAGCAGCAGTTTCAGCAGCGCCAGATGCATCAACAGTTTATGCATAAACAACAGTTATTGCAGCAGCAGCAGCAGCAGCAGCAGCAACAGCAGCAGCAACAGCAGCAGCAACAACTACAGCAGCACCAACAACAGTTGCACCAGCAAGCTAAGCAGCAACAGCAACAAAATGCACAGTTGCAGGCCCACCAAATGCCCCAGCTCCATCAGATTAGTGATTTAAATGACTTGAAGATGAGACAGCAGATGGCTGTAAAATCAGGAGGTTTTCCGCAACATCATTCAGTGGGTCAGCGTGCAGCATATCATGGCCAGCAGTTGAAGTCTGGAGCACAATTCCCTATCTCTTCACCTCAACTCCTCCAGGCAGCATCTCCCCAAATGCCTCAGCATCCTTCTCCACAAATTGACCAGCAAAATCTGCTTACATCTCTTACAAAAGCTGGAACACCGTTGCAACCAGCAAGTTCACCTTTTGTTGTACCATCTCCTGCAACTCCTCTGACCGCTCCATCTCCAATACCGGGGGAGTCGGAGAAAGTTAATTCTGGTGTTTCCTCACTTTCCAATACTGGAAATGTTGCACATCAACAGACAACTCTGCTGTAACACCTGCCCAATCCCTTGCAATTGGTACTCCTGGAAATATCAGCCTCACCCTTGCTTGCAGAATTCACTGGTACTGATGGAAATCATGCTAATGTCTCAACAGGTGTTTCTGGCAAGTCTAGTGTTACAGAGCAGCCTCTTGAACGCTTAATTAAAGCGGTTAGTTATATACGATGTTACAAATTAACTTTTGGTGCATTGTTGTGATAAATTCAAAATTAAATCTTTCATTGATTTTTGCCCTTTTTGTGGGATAAGTTGGATTTGAATGATATGAATCTTGTTATTTTATTTTTCAGGTACAGTCAATGTCACCCAAAGCACTGTCTGCCTCAGTTGGTGACATTGGCTCTGTTGTTAGTATGATTGATAGGATAGCAGGATCTGCACCAGGTAATGGGTCCAGGGCTGCGGTTGGTGAAGATTTGGTGCAATGACAAAGTGTCGATTACAAGCACGAAATTTTTGCTACTCAAGATGGGAACAGTGGGACCAGGAAGATGAGGCGCTACACAAATGCAATGCCCTTAAACGTTGTATCATCTGGTGGCAGTGCAAATGACAGTTTCAGGCATTTGACTGGTTCAGAGACATCTGACTTAGAGTCAACTGCTACATCCAAAATCAAGAGGCCTAGACTGGAGGTATTGTGTATAATATGTATGTTTACTTTCAATATTATATGAGACATGGGTGTCCAAATATAGGAAAATGTGTGACTGTAACAAACTTGATAATCCAATAGTGTGTTTGATATATGTCTTGGAGTGTCCATAAAGAATTCATGTTTGACACTATACCTGGTTCCAAATGGGGTGTACATGCTTCCTAGGAAATATCCGCTGCTTCTTAGTTACATTTACATTAATGTTTGAGCCCGCCTCTAATTTTGTTTCAGGAGATTGAAAGGAGCTATCAAATCTCAAAATTAATCCCCTAATCGGACCGTCACAAATTATCCTCTAACCAAGTTCCACGCTGCCTAATGCATGAATCTGCAATTATTGAGGTTCTGTTATCAGTAACTACCCTTTTAAACATGCAAATCACACCTTCAGGCCATTTGTTGAATGTATACTTGTCCCTTCTTCAATGCAATCTGCTATAGAACATCATAGTGTGCACACGCGTGCGCACACATCACATTGTTACCACACCAGCTATAGCCTTTTACAAGAGATTCACACTTGGAATTTAGCTCTAGACTAAGTCAACCACATAGTTATTGTCTGTATTGTGGTGTGCTAATTTTAATGGCAGTTACTACCGTTTCCCACACTCTACTTCCTCATTTCCAGTTCTAGTTTTATACGAAGTTATGCCTCCACTTCTCCATTTATTTTTCTTTCGGTTTAGGGTGGTTGCCACCAAGTTGTATTTAAAAGGCAAACCAATTTAATGAGTAAGCACTGAGAATTTAATTAAGTTTTTGGTTTTTTTTAGCTCAGGAGATCTTAGGTTCTCTCTAATGAGCCTAATTTTAGCAAACATAGGTCGAAAGAAGGTCTTTTCCTCTTTCATGGCCAATCCTCAGCCAAGTCCTGTTCCTAATCTTCCTATTCCTCTACTCCAGTGACCCCATAACTAGATCCTACTCAGTTGAGCAGCTTCTGCAACTATTCCAGGGGGAATGTGCTGCTAATTTGGCTAGACAAGAAGCAATTCAGGCTAGATTAGATGAGCTCACATGAGATCTGGCAAGCAGCATCTATAGTACACACAGTTGCACCAGAGTAGTTAGACCAGCCATAACAAGAACAGGAAGGTTAAAGTAGTGGCAGGAGTATCAGGATCAGAAAATTCCAGGGGAGATGGCATTATTCCTAGATATACAATATTGGACTTTCCACTTTTCAAAGGCCAGGAAGATCCATAACCAGAAAAAAATTATGGCATAGTTGCTGCACCTCTTACTGCAATGCTATGCAAAAATTCCTTCATATGGACAGAACAATCTTGAAGGGCTTTTGATCAACTTAAAGTTGCTATGACTACAACACCTCTGTTAGCACTTCTGCATTTTTCTCAACCCTTTACTATTGAATATCATTCTTCTAACAATGGGATTGGCACAGTCTTGCTGTAGAACAATAAACCCGTAGCTTATTTCACTCAAGCAATGGTGATTAGATGCCAGAGTCCACCAGCCTATGAGAAGCAGCTCATTGGCCTTGTTAAAGCTATCAAACACTAAATAATACCAGCTAACCCAGCTTTTTACAAGAGATTCACACATGGGAAATTTAGATCTAGACTAAGTCAACCACGGAGTTAGTTATGATATGTGTCAGTTATTTTTTGGTATGCAAGTTTTAGTGGCAGTTACTTGGACAATTCCCACACCCCACACTTCCTCATTTCCAGTTCCAGTGTAGGAGTTTATGCCTTCATTTCTCCCTTTTATTTTTCTTTCAGCTTAGGGTGGTTAGACCAGGTTGTATTTAAAAGGCAAACCAAATTAATAAGTAAGCATTGTGAATTCAATTAAGTTTTTCAGTTCTTTAACTCAAGAGGACTTTGGTTCTCTCTAACAAGCCTAATTTTAGCAAAGCCCTGTTCCTAATCTTCCTACCTCTACACCAGTGACCCATGACTAGATCCTACCATAGCACACACAGCCTTATGACACTGCAAAGAAGAAATTAGAGTAGCCAGGATTCAACACGAAATTTCACATTGTGCAAACATATTATCTATCAGAGAATTACTGTAGAACCTCTTCCTTTAGTTGTAGATTCATTCACATTAAGTGTCAGTTATATTTATGTATTTCTTTACTACACTAGTTCAGTTGTAATTTATTGAATTGATTCTCTATTTTGTGGTTATGAAACTGTATAGGGCTTAAGACTTTCTAATGTTATGACTTGAATGGAAATAGTGTAAATACATGTTGAAACACGAAAACATGTTGTCAAAGGTCAATATTGATAGTGCCACTTTCCTGTTGATTAGAACACGAGGTCTTACTGGATAACATCAATAATGAGCCTTTATTTATTATTTTTTTTTAACTTTTTGAACTCCTTTGGAGATGCTGTTATGTTGTCCACGTCTTCACTCAAGAAAGTGGACATACATATCTGGTGTGAGAAAATTTTGGCTATTTGCTATATGGAAAATTTTTTAATGAACCTAGCTAGCAAACTACAGTTAATCAAATTAAAAGCCTTCCCATTTTTGTAAAATAGTTTGAGTTCTCTAAGAGTCCCTTGAACATTGTAATCCCAAACTCCATAGAGAAGGCACTTTTGAGTTAAATTGAGATAATAGACTCTAGAGAGGAATGTATATGAGAAGATTTCTCTTTATAGGTATTTGCTTGAGTAACATATCTCCCTTTTATTTGTAGTTCCTCGAGGAGATAAAACTTGGAAGAGAAAATGGCTTGGCTTCAATAGTTTGTGATAGGCAAGAGAGTCAAGGAATACTGTATTTATAGAAAGCCTTTATTTTCTTTATGGAAGCGTTTTTATAGAAGTAAACTAAAGAGATATCTATCCTCATTGGATCAAAAGATTCAAACTGGGAATTGTTAGAAAGTATGTTATATATTTTTAAAGGGAACTGTGTTCTAGTTGTACAGATGAGCAGAGTGTTTGTATATACTGTTTATATATTGAGTTTGCAGTAATCATTGATCTCATTGAGTTTGTTTCCAGGGTAAATAAAATTTTGACTACTGTTACAATGACTTTGTCATGGTTATATGTCAGAATTTGTGTTCAGTTCATACTTCTATAAATACATATTATAAATGGTAACACTACTTAGGTTTCTTTATTATGAGCTTTTCTGGTTAAATTATCATGTCAGGAGGAAAAAGATTATTCCCCAGCCAGACTGGAAAAAATAATGACTATTATATTTGTAGTTAGGCAGTGATCAGCCTTCTTTTTTGATATAATGTTGAATCTGATGCTTGTTCATGGGGCTTGACATTTATAATTCTCCAACAAATGTCATAATGAAAGACTAATATATATATATATATATATATATTCACTTTTATTTTTTATCTTTGCATAGCGTATTCCCATGTGTCTTTTTACTTCCTAAAGCATAATTGACCACCTATTGCAGGCTAACCATGCACTTCTGGAAGAAATAAGGGAGATAAATCTGCGACTTATTGATACAGTAGTAGATATAAGTAATGAAGATGTTGATCCAACTGCTGTAGTAGCTGCTGCTGCAGCGAGGGCGGCGAAGGAACTATTGTCAAGTGCTCTTTTGGTGCTGTTGCTCTCAGTTCAAACTTGAAATCACAGTATACTTCAGCACAAATGGTTGGTTGCAAATTTTTATGGTGAACTTTATCTAGTCTGCATTACTCTTGCCAGTATTATATTTTTCTTTTTGTTCTATGGATATGCAGTCACCAATTCAGCCCTTACGGTTGCTTGTTCCTGCGAATTATCCACATTGCTCTCCGATACTGTTGGATAAGTTTCCAATTGAAGTTAGGTGAGAAAATGAAGCATTGAGGTTTCTTCATATTGCATTTTTTGTATTTTGTATTTTGATGGTTATTGTTGCTATGTTATATTCCCAGTTGCTTGTTAACTCTTCTCGCATATCAACGTAAAAATTTACGTGCTTTTATATTTCTGTAGATTTTCGTATGTCTTTTCCAAGTGTGGTTATAGGCTATGAGAACAGGATAAAATAGGAGATTCATGGACAGCTTTGAGTTAGAAATTTCTAGTTAGGGGATGACAGTGAGGAGATGTAATTCAAAATATCTAATTATGTACACATACGCATAAACTAACAACACACCCTCCCGGGAAAACATATATTTTTTTGTTTATTGCATTATAATGAACAGGAAATTCTCTGTTATATTTATAGGAGAGAGAAGAAAACAAGAATTTTTTGTGGAAAAACTTAATGCACAATAAAATGGAATGTAGAAGTCCTAAATTTGAAAGCTGAAATGAAGGATTAATTTGATATGAACTTGTGTTGTTTTTATTTTTACCAGTGATTTTTGTAACTATGTTGTTCAAAATTGGTCAGTGTTTTTGAGGTGTGTTTAAGGGATGGGCATTTTTGTCTGCGAACATTTGAAGTTTCTTGGTTCTACTTCCAGGAATATAAAGTAATGGTATGCAAGTGTTTGAAGAAAACAGGATTATGTTCTCATCACCTTTCTTGGGCATCACCTTTCTTGGGCTACCATGTGCACCTTTTTTGCTGAGACAATTTGTACTACCTCCATGTTTACTACTTCTTTCACTTCTTGGTTCAGTATTATCCAGAAGATTTCTCTTCAATGAGTTGGGTTTCTAAATTTCTTCTTGTCCTACCTTCTGTTATAAAGTTAGTGGGATTGTTGACCTCATTGCTGCTAAGAAGCCACTTCTTCCAATTAATTCCCACCACTGTTTCAACCCTTTTGTGAGTTTGGAGTCAAGAGAAGTGGAGATGAGCTGTGGTCTTCTTCTAGTCTTTTTGTTTTGTATGTTCTGTTTGTTATATGTTATTTTATTTCATTTCTCCTTTTCTCTTTCCTGTTATGCAAGTCATTCTGAAATTTGCTTCAACAGCAAGGAGCATGAGGATTTATCAGTGAAGGCGAAATCAAAGTTCAGCACCTCTCTCCGTAACCTATCACAACCCATGAAACTCGAGGATATAGCAAGGACTTGGGATGTCTGTGCCCGTGCTGTGATTTCTGAATATGCACAACAGAGTGGTGGAGGAAGCTTTAGCTCAAAATATGGAACGTGGGAAAACTGCTTAAGCGCTGCTTGATCTTTTTGGTAAATTCACAAGAAACTCGAAAATGCAGGATATATCGGCAGCGATGGATACGTTGCTGCTCCAGTGTCAAAAGCATGGCTTTATAATTTGTGGTAAAATTGGCTGAGCTTCTGACTTGGAAGATGATGGAATAATTATATTATTTACATGTCTGTAATGTTGCGTGAGCTTGTCATGCTTTTAGCACCAAACTGTTACGTATGTTTGTGGCAGTCATCTTTATCTAGTTTATTGTAGGTGCCCCGTGTCCTGTTTATAGATGGTGTACGTCTCGATTTTATTTATGTATCGATTTATCTACACCCGTCGTATGGTGGCACCAGTTACGAGGTTATTGAAATGATATGTTTCTTGTTTATTTGACTATTTTGTTTGGATATAACCAATCAATAAATAACGGAAAATTTGGGGAAAGTATCTGCTGCCAAACAGAGAATAGGAGATTAGGGTGCGAAAAAGGCTAAGAAATTGGAACTTCCTTTTTTTAAAATTTTTTTTAAGGGGTCTTTAAGCTAAGAAGCCAACGCACATGCTCTTATGCTTCTACCATGCATCATAGGCGCAATCTTTAGGAATAAAGAAAGAGAACTAAATAATAATAATCGAGTAGTTATTAATAATTTTGACGAGTGGCATGTCCATGCATTGACACGTGGCTTGTATGAGTGTGATACAATTAATGAGTAAAAAATGAAAAAGCGTTATGTTTAATTATAAAAACTGTTTTTTTTTAGTAGTTGAAATTGTTTTGGAAGTAATGCTTAAAAATTTTGAAAAGTGGGGTGAGATTGATATGAATAAAAAAATTATAATATGTAATTAAAAATATATACTATTGAACTCAAAAATTACAATTATTTATTTGTTGCTTTCTAAACCTGTCGAAGTTTCTTTCAACCATTTGTGTAGATCATAAAAACTAAGTCTTTCAGTTGTTTAAAATTAAAATTTTACATTAAACAAACTAGCTAATTCTCCATGGTGAATGAAAAATAGTGATTTTTTTTTTTTTTAATTTGGGTTACTTAACAGTCTCGCTCAGTTCAATATACTAAAATATAAAGTAAAATATTTGAAAAAATATAAGTTATTGAAAATATTATACAATAATTTGATATATAACTTGCACAACTTGCTACATTTTTTTTTATTATTATGATAAATTAAATTGAAAGAACATATATTATGTAATTTTTGAGATAAGTTTCAATTTCTTAGAATACTTTTGAAATGCAAGGAAACAATTAAAATGTGAAGGGAATTGCAAATATTAATTATAAACAAAAAGATTATTTTATTTTTCCTAAGCATATTATTATTGTCACAAAGAAAAAAAAAAATGAAGCATGTGGTTTTAGATTTGCACACGAGATTTCGTACAGGAGGAAATGCATGGCACGTCATCACCCATTTTTGGATCCCCACGCTTTATCTATTTGATCCTTAAACCAGAATTTTACTGTATTCTAGCCATTTTTCGTGTTTTAAAATTTTTGCTTACGTCCACGTAAAAAATTATTTCATGTAAATAAGATAAAAATATATTATCAAAAGATTCAATTGATAATTAAAATGTTTGAGGGACTTAAATACAAATTATAGCAATAATCTCAATGATGGAGTGTTTATATAAAAAAAAATGCATCCTCAACAAGTGACACAAATTTAAGTAAAATATTATCTTAAATTTACAAATCAAAGATGAAAAAAAAAAGGAATTTATTTTAAATTTTTTATTATATTAAAGAATAATATATATATATTTTTTCTTTAATAAAGAATATTATTTTATATATTTTTATTTTTATATGAATGAACTAAGTATTCAGGGTTTTGAAGCCCATAAAACTCCTTGGTATTGGAGTGTTTTCTATCCTTAAAATAAGAGTAATTTACTGCTTAAGCCTACGGCCCTCCCACGTGATCCTTGAAGGCAAGGCTTCCCCTGCTCCCGTCCTCTTCCACACCCACATCCTCTGCTTCAAATTCTGCTAAAGTGATTAAAATAGAGTTAAATCGATTCAATTTTTATTAAATGGGTTTTTATCGGGTCGTAATGATTTTTTTCTTAGTAATCCGAAGTGTTTGCATCCTGCTAACTGACTTAAATTGCGACCCTTAAACGTATATATTGATGCAGTGAAGAACAGCCGCTATCCATCAATGAAGTTAATGATATTCAGTCAGAAGAGCCAACTTTGGTCCGTTAGTATAGCTTATGCAATTTCTTCAAGAAAAGCACAGGGACGGAACGTATGTACAGTGATTTCTCTCTTTTTTATCGTAATTTATTTGTAATTTTACAAATATCTATTTATAATTTTATAAATTTATACTTATAAATTTATAATTTTATATTTATAATACTTGTAACTCCTTTCTCTCTCTCACTCTCTTTTTTTAATTATCTCCCACGACCTGTTTCTAATTTTATAAATTTATATTTGTAATTTTATAATTTATATTTATAATTTTATTATTTTATGCTTATAATTTTATAGATAAATTTTTATAATTTATGAATATAGTTTTATAAAAATATACTTGTCCAAATTATGTTTGTAGTTTGGATGTAAAAAAGAGTGAAGAGTATTTTGAAAAATTAAATTTATTTTTAGGTTATTATTTTTTGTTTTAAACATTCCATGTCATTAATTATAAAAATGATCCTCCAAGTAATAAATCTTACCAAATTTTCCAAAAAATTACTAAGCCGACGGCTATATTTGGGTTCGAAACATAAAATATTTTCATTTGATGTTAAAAGGAAAAAAATCTAATTAAAGATATTTTACATTTTTAAAATACCCCGTTACACATATACATATTTGTAACAATTACAAGCATGTTTTTGTAAGGTTATAAGTATATATTTGTCTAATAATAAGCATATTTTGTGAATGTAAAATATTCTTAACTGAATAATTTTTTTCTTCTAACCCTCAATAGAAATATTTTACATTTTGACTTCAAATATTCTTAAAATTACAAAGCAATCTATTAAAACTTATGTTATAAAAAAAAAGACTTGTAGATTTATATTACTTATTTATAATTTTAAATAATTTAATTGTATTATTTTGTTATATTGATAAGAAATTGATTTTTGGAGAAAAATAAGTTAAAATTTGGGTCTTTGAAGGCTGTTTAGAGGCTGTTAAACCCCGTTAGAACTTCCAAAAACCTACTTAGACTAGAAGTCCAACCGCGAGTTAGACTTTTATGCATTGGAACTCTACTGGATCTCTTGCAACTTCCCAAAACAAATTCTATTTTCTTTAGCTTATATATCGAGGATATATCTAGAGTCTAATAGCACTGTTTTGGAGCTATTAAGACCTAGACTTGAGTGTTTAACTGCAATCTGGGAGATTTAATGCTAAAAAGTAAAAATGGTGTATTTTGAAAGATATTAACGAGATGTTAACCACGTCACTGTGAGTTTCCTCAACTTCATGAACTTTTCTTTATGAGTTTCTTATTGATCATATTCTTGTGATTGTGTTGTGAGCATATCAAACTCATGAAAGTTTGTTTATGAGATTTTCTTGTTTTATTTCAATTGAGATTGCTATCTTTGAAAGTAAACAACATTTTTTAAAGCATGCACACTCCCGAAATCTTATTTGTTCATGAATAATCTCTTGGATATGCGTATGTCTTGTTGCTATTCATACGTATTCGTACTTCCCCCGCTATGTCATATTGTTTGAGTGAATTAATGCGCTTGATTGCAAGAGTATGGAAGTACCTTGGAAAACGGGGAGGATGATCGTCTTGTTCCTGCGTAATGCCTGGTTTGCTATTCTGTTGGCCCTGTTTAGACCACGGTCTTAGTAAACAAGGGTAAGTGACACAGTTAGAGGCAACTTCAGGCATTGCTTCATTTTCGCTTGGATGTTAAAGCCAGGGTGGTTCAGGATTGACCACCATTTACACCTCATAAACTAGCGGAGCCCTAAGATAAAAGCACAAGCTATTGAGAAAATTGCCGAGCCCATATTTTAGAAACTTAGATGCTAAAGGCAAGGTGGTTTAGGATTGGCCACCATTCCCACCATATTAACTAGCACAGCTCTAAGAGGAGCACAAATTGTTGGGAAAATCAGGGAGCCCATGTTTTAATAGGAATAGTAAAGCAATAGCAATAGTAACAGTAACAGCAGTAACAGTATTATTATATTATTATTATTATTATTATTATTATTATTATTATTATCATCATCATCATCATCATCACCTTGAGTATAATCTTCTATATATTTGAAAGTAAAAATATGACAATATTCAGATTGACAATTCTGGAAACAATTGGGATTTATTCTTTGGAGTCAATAATGAGGATAATTTAGTTATTTACTAGAATCCACTAATAACCTAATGCAGTAAAATCAGATAAAGATCAAAAGTTTCACTAGACCCACTTTTGTTCAAACTAGATTTCCATAAATTAATTTTTTTAGGAAAAAAATATATCAAACAAGGCCCAGAGGTTTTGCAAATAGGCTTAACCATTGGCTTTTCTCAACTACAACATGTAAATTTGTCTTTTTAAAGAAGTAATTAGTGTGGAATAGGGCTATTGATAGAGTAGATTTTATTCTAAATTTAATTTGAATTTGATCCGATTATTTAAGATTTTTAATCGATAAAAAATTCGACGGATATAATCTGATTATGAAATTCTGTAATTCAAAATAAATAAAACGAAAATGAATTTTTCCTAATTCGATCCATTAAAAATCCGAATCCGAATACACATATACGTATATTATATATAAACAAAATATGTGATATATAATATGATATAATATTATATATATATCACAATATAAACATGATTGATCATATTTTAATTAAAAATCATTTTTTAAAAAATTAGAATTAGAAACATTTTTTATTTTTTATAAAAACAAATATATATATATTGATGGATTAAATATAAATATTATATATTACTAGTAAATTAGAACATAATATTTGTGGTAAAT